GCTCAGATAAGATTAAATTAGATCAAAAGAAGCAATAGTGTAGTCAGTCTAATCTGTCAGTGATTGCCAAAGTCAGACGCTAACCTGAAAACAATGGCTCTCAGCCTATTCTTCAGGACCAAACCATAGTGCACGCAAAGACGTCTGGACACCTTGTGCATGGCCAGGCTTGGAGGCAAACAACAATTAGCAGCATGACATCTAACCAATGTTAGCAGATGCAAATCATATACTGCAGAAATCTCTTCAAATTAAAAGTGACACTAAACTCAGGACACTAAACTCTTATAAATGCATTCAGGTACCCTAACTATTAACAAAAATGCATCTTATTTGTGTATCACTCGGCTGTAGATCCTCAAATCATCTATGAATTGGTGCTGATACTCTCCTTCCTTCTGGAGGGCGGCTCATGTCAATGCTGCTTTTCTAAAGTAACAGCTGGGTTTACAAAGGCATTTAGTGCACTCAATCTGGATTCATACCCTTTGTGGCTGTGGAGGGATATATTTTAATAAATGTTCCGCTTTAACACTGTGAACAGTGCCAGAAGTTGTCTTGTGATTCTAAGTAATGTCATAGACTGGCTCCACCATGATTTGCATGGTATGTCAGCACACAGGGGCGTAACAATAGCCATAGCAGCCCATGCGGCTGCTATGGGGCCTTGGGGTGGAAGGGGGCCCCCTTGAAAGATTGCTGAAGTCGCTGCTGACCCTGTACCCTTGATGGCATTTGCAATCAAGAAGAGTTGATATCAGGATGTTCAGGAAGAGACTATGCAGACAGCTCTCCTGCTACATGTCCTTTATTTAGATTTGAAAGGGTTTGCCATGGGGCCCTATTCAAATTTTGCTATGGGGCCCCATGGCCTGTAGTTACGCCCCTGCCAGCACAGTACATCAAAGCACTGCTTTCACTTACAATCAGTTTCTGAAATCAGTGACTAGGACATTTCCTATTAGCAGCAATAAAGATAAACATGAAAACAGCGATTACATTGGCATTAAGACACATCCTGTACAAGTTTTACAGACCTTATAAGATGTATAAGTCTTATACCTGTGATTACAAAAACACATTCTTCTGATAGGCTGTGTATTATAATGTCACTGAACAATAGCACTGTAGTTTATAAACTTTGTGATTTACATCCAGTGCAGTAAGAAACGTGGATTCATTTCCAGTGGCTCAGCAGTTTACTGAACATTTGAATTAGGACAGATAACAGATTTATGGCTGTAGCAAGGTCATTGTGACAGTCAGTTGAATGTAGAACCTAGCTTATTAGTTTAAGAAAAGTTCCTGCTAACTTTTCCTCAAGCCAAAATGCATTTAATCTGGCAGAACCAGTCCCCTCTGTTGAGGATGTGGCCTAAACATTCATGGTCCTCAACACAAATAATGAGAAACATTTTTAGGAGCTGGAGTATCACATAAGTAGGTTTGTGCAATGCAGTATTGTGAACTGACTTCACAGTGCTCCCTCCAGTCTGTTGTCGCCTCTGCTGCAGTAATGGTATGTCCTTTGACAGCCTCACATCCAATACACAGTGAGGGGAATTTATTAAAACTGGAGCAGACAAAATCTGGAGCAATTGCCCATGGCAACCAATCAGCTTCCCTCTTCAGTTTATTCAGTTAAGATTTGAAAATGAGAAAGAGAAGCTGATTGGTTGCCATACACAACTGCTCCAGATTTTGTCTGCTCCAGTTTTGATAAATGTCCCTCAGTGTCTTGGACCTGATGACTCAGGGACCTTAGACCACTGTAGCGTAGGGGCAGAGACATTGGAAAGACCAGTCTAACAGCAAGTCGGCACTGAGGATCAGGTGAGTATAATTGTTTTTATTTTTCTCCCTAGCAGTTAACCCTTGCAGTGCAGGGTAGCCCCTCTGCAAGGGTTAATAATATTTTCCCTGGGGTTTTGATAGTAAATAAGGCAAATGGTCTATGGGGTTCATTTACTATTCGCACAACACTAGCGCCCCTAGATGGTGCCGACGAGTATGGGAAATTCCTATATTTATAAATGAACCCCTATGTGTTAGGACTGCCCAATGCAGTGGCCATAAACTGGAATGAAATCTATGTAAATGAACACACATCCATACCCAAATATTGTACAGATATAACACTAGACTATAGATGTTTGACAAGAGGTTGCCGTTCTGAACACACACGCATGTGTTTTTTTCATGCATGTTAAACAGCTATAATGACACTATCTGCAGGTATGATAATGCAGGATGAGAAAAAATGCATGCTATGTCAGAAGCATTCAGAGACTGGTGTGAAAGCAGGTAACAGCATCCAAGTAAAGTTTCAGCGAAGAGGTTGACCCAGATTACAGTAAAAGTGGTTACACTTGAAAGGTAGGCTCAAAGGTCTAGAATTATTTATTTTCTCTAACTGTTATTCCTGAGTGCACAATGACTGACCCCTGAGGCACCGGGGAGGCAATATCCCATTAAAACACAGGGGGCAGCAGTAGTGGTGCTGAAGTCTGCAAGCAAAGTCGTCTTTTGAATTTTGATTCTGATTTAGTAAAAGTGACATTATAAGCAGATTCCCCAGCCCCCTCCAACGCTGCTGTAAAGACTTACCTTATGTGATGGCTCTTGATCCGAACACCTTCTTCTTTCTACTCGCTTTCCACAGTCCCCCCCGCGCTGGTGCCGGTCTCTGATCCACCGCAGCTTCCTCGTTTCCCACAGAGTCTGTCTGTGCACGTTCCCTGCTGCATCCATTTAGCTACTGTGCCGCTTTTCTCCTCTCCCCTCCAAAGCTCTGGACTGAGCATGTGCCCGACCACTCTTCTTCCTTCACAGCGTTTGGGAGACGGGACTTCTGCAGCTAGGATCGAGCAGCGCTGACACAGGTAAGTTTCTTGGTATTTGCCAACTTTTTTTTTTTCTTTTTATGTTGGCGCAAATATCTGCTGCTTACTAGCATTAGATATATACCAAACAAAAATAGTTTTAATACTTTAACACTACTTTAACAAATATACAATTTATATGGATGTAATTCCCTTTAGGCCTGGTTCACACCTGGGTGTTTTGTAGCGCGTTCCTACGCTCTGCAAAACGCTCAAACACCGAAAATCCCATTATTTCATATGGCTATGGTTCACACCTGGGCGTATTACAGGCCGTATGAACGCGCTACCAAACGCCCTATGCCCAAAGAAGTACAGGAGCTTCTTTGGGGCGTATTTGCCGCGCGTATCCATTGGGATATCCTCGGAATCGCGTGACAAACGCGCATATTCGATACGCCTAAGTGTGAACCCAGCCTAACAGTGAACCTGAATGTCAGTATTAAAATACAATTCAAATTTTGATTACTAAATAAAACAGGGAATGAGTAAAGCTTGTCAGGGTTTTATTGCCCTACGTGTCTCCAATGAAGAGATTTCCCCATACAGTTACACTTTCCGTGTGGTTTCCAAAATAGGAAGTAAATGGAAATCTCTGCAGAGGGGTAAAGACAGCAATATAACACATTTTAGTAGAATTGGTTAGAACCTCTTTCATGTATTTGCTGTGTCCTTGTTGGAGAACATTCTGTAACTTTTAGTCCCATTGACCAAACAGGAAGTGCAAAGTCTACAGAATGGGAAGTCTACAGAATGGAAACGGGAATCAAATATAATGCCTTATACAAAACTAAAAGAAAGAATGATCCAGCTGTAATGCCACTTTTATCTAAAGGTTCAATAGTTATGAAGTTATTATCCATTTGTGATGATTATTTCCACGAAGGTAAACTATGCTGCAGAAAACTCCAATCTTTGTGACAAAAAGTAGATTTGCTGGTCAAATCGAAAGATTATCACACCTCCTCCTTCCACAAACTTCTACAAGCAAAGTTTTATGGGAGCAGAAGAACAGATGATTCTTGTGCTAATCTAAGGCACATGTGTAATTGATGGATTTATAGCTGAACTCTGGGCACAAACATTTTTATGTAAATATATTCCTCCATAGCCACATAGGATATAAATCCACTGTGTATGCTCTGAATGCGTTTTCAGAACCATTAGACATAGCAGTGACATCATCACTTTGCTGTACATTGTTCAGAGTGCAGAGCTGTGGGAGGGACCCAACAGGCCCCACCCACTGCAGGCTGCCTGCAGAAAACTGCAGGAGGTGGGCAGATACAAGACCAGCCATTCTGCACAAAAAAAGAGAGCAGCAGTGACTGGTCTGTGTTACAGGAAGCTCCTGATGAAATGTTTCACATTGGATTACTGCACAGATCTGGAAGAAATACACAAAGCACACCAAGATTTGAATAAGATTACACGTGACTCCTGTATTTAGACAATATTTCTCATCCCAGAGTTCAGCTTTATGCATCCACTGCCAGGTTCAAGTATGTACACAAACAACACAGTGGCACCGGCAGCACAAATTTCACTTTTAGGGACATGTGACCAATATTTTAAACTCCTATAGTTGTACAAGGAGTTCTCTGATTGGACGACGCGTAGATTGTAACATCACTTCCCCCTAATTAATCAGGGAATCCCTTGTACTCATTGATAAATACTAGGTCTAAGTACTAGATGTTCTCTGAATGGCCTCTGTGCCAAGTGAGGGACCCACAATGTTTTCAAAGCAGAGGGGAAGATGCTCAGGGCAGTGCAGTACCAAGACCCAGAAGATCAATGTAAAAGAGCAGTAGCTTCGGCTACTACAAAGGTGCACAGGATCCCCATGTGCCAACCAGTTATGACATATGCATACTTATTGGGGCAAGCTGGACTAATAAGGTATGCATCATTTTTTATACCTGGAGTTCAGCTTTATTGGATATGGCATTCCTGGAACCTGAAGGAAGACTATGCTCTTTAGTCAGTCAATACTACTATATTATATACATTGGTAACCATTATAAAGAATGGGGGGAAAAAAGTGTTTGGGAACAATTGCATATCTTAACTAGGCTGGTCATTTTGCCACAGTGTTTACCATGTATAACATATTACCAGAAGAATGCTGTCTTGGCCCCGAGGTTTTTCTCCAGGACATTTCTGTCCAGGACATTGTAGCACACATTGGTTTTTGCCCCTTTCATGAACTCCACAAATATATTGCCTTTAGTGATGTCAAAATTATAATCCAGGACTTTGCCGCTAGGAGGGGATTTCCAATAGAAATCAGAGGCAACCTCCATCCAAAATTCTGCAGGGAAAAAATGTTTGAGGAAGTGATATATAATAATAAAAAGAAACACAAAACAATCAATTATGAATAAAAAGATCAATTGTTTTGATAGGGTAAAACATTATATTATTAGGACAAATGGTTTTATTCAATAGACAGTTCTTATTCTTGAAGTGACCCTATTGCTATATTAATAAATGAAACCACTACCAGACTGTAAAAGAACATGTAATGACGTAACCTCTGGCAAGAGGAACCACAGCCCCCTACAGGGGACCAGGTATCTGCCATACCCTGAAGTGTTGGCAACCAAGGTTGCCCATAGCTCTTTAAGAGAGAGATTTAACTCACCACCCCCTGGCAAAGGTAGGTATTAAACATGTTCTTTTATAGGTTGGTTGTGACTATTTCTTTTTACTTTAGGAACATGGCCGCTTTAAATACTAACTTTTAATTGCAGTAACCCATAGCAACCAATCAGAGGTTTCTCTGCTCATGTCGGACTAGTATAAGGTGGATTCTGGTTGGGCTGCCTATAGATTGCATGACTTAAGAATGAGAACTCTTTATTGAATTCTAGCTGTACAGTCTTCAACCTTATATATTCACACACTCATACGGCTGATGTACTAAAGGAGTCATTTTCTTTTTATCCTTGGTTTTACATGAAATCTGAATGAGTGAGGCATGGCATGTTCCGCACATCAGCAAAGGGAAGTGCATTTTTTTCAATAGGCTGCCATATAAACAACAAATGCAACAGAGAACCTTACAAAGCAGTGTGAGTTGCAAACTTTGTGCGTTTTTGACTGTCTTTGTACATGTTTGCCATGCATCTTGCTTGCTGTTGGGGTGCATTTGGGGTGCTATTAAATAATGATGCGGCAGCGCGACATAAGCTTTTCGTGCATTGGAAGAATATGCGCAAAACTGGGTGATTTTGAGCACTTTCACAACTAATGTGAATGAGAGTTAAGTTGTCAGCACTTCTACCCTGCAGCACTGGGGTCATTGGTTCAGATCCTGGCCAGGACACTATCTACATGGAGTTTGCATGTTCTCCCTGTGCTTGTGTGGGATTCCCCGGGTTGTCCAGTTCCCCCCACACTCCAGAGACAAGCTGGTCGGTTAATTGGCTCCGGTCTTAATTGGCCCTGATATGTATGCATGCATATGAGATAAAGACCTTAGATTGTAAGCTCTTTGATGGGAGGTACTGTTGTGAATGAGTAGTATCTCATGGCGCTCATGACGCTATGTAATACCTTTAGTAATAACCAGAAAATAGAATTTTCTTTTGAACCCGATTGCTATTTAAAGCTAGAACATGCCAGTAAGCCAGGTGATGTATACACTGTATAATTTACACATACATAGAAAGATAAGAACAAGGAAACATAAAAGAGTAATGGCAGAAAACAAAGTGGTCCATCAGGTCTTCCCCTTTTTGATTTTTGTTTTCTTTTTAGCCTTTTGTCTGAGTTTCGATCTATGATTGCCCCAAGTATCACTGACTCACTACCTCTGCTGGGAACTTATTCCAAGCATCAACTACTCTTTTGGTGAAATATTATTTCTAAGATTAGTTTAGAATCTGAGGTCTTGTCCCTGTGTTCTTCATCTTCATATTGACAATCCTGCCTCCTGAACCTTATTCAGAGCCTTCATGTATGTAAAGGTTTCAGTCCTGGCCCCCCTTTCCCTATTATTGCAATATCTAATCAATGCAGTACAGATGTGACATCTTTTCGGACTGTCCTCCTCCTCCTGCACAGAAATACCTTGGGGGTTGTGGATGGACTTGTCGTACAGAGCCTTGTATGTGTTGAAGTCTGGGATGTATGCATGCTGTTGCAGGGACTTTGCGGGCGGGTAGGTGGCCACTTCTTCTTCCTCTGCTAAGGCCCCTTCACAGGTTGCCTTCACCTGGCTTGGCATGTTTGCTGCGAGAAACCACAAACGACTCTAATTCCTTAATCCGAATTGTAGCAATCCAGGCGCAGCAATGCCCCTTTCTATGGAGGTGTGTAATGTAAATGGAGGTGACAGGAGGATTTCCCAGCCTAATCCCTCCTCGCCTCCTCCTCCTCATCCACGGCTCTCCCTGTGCTGAAGCTCGCACGGGTCTGTATTCTCATGTCGCCAGCCAATCAGGACGCTCCGTGCTCACACTCTTCCTGTATGATTGGCTGCGGCGCGCTCGGCTCATCTCTTGCCATTGTGCTCAGAGGCGATGTGGTGTGGAGTCAGCAGGCGGAGGATGCGAGCAGGGAAGGGGGGTGGCGGTGATATGGCTCCGGTGACCCATGGCTTGCCTTGACACCGGTGTTGGAAAGTTGCTGTGTCGAGTCTTGTTATGTCATTCACATATTGCTGTAATAAGCACCTTGTTGCGTCAACTGAACTTTTATAGTGGTTTGCGGTGGGTGAAATGTGAACGAGCCGTTCAATCACAGAGGCAGCATTTATTCTCAGCACTTCCTGATGTGTTATAGCATGTCACCCTGAGGAGGAAGCTTGCTGAGACTGACCACGTCATAACATTCTTAATTCCCGAGGAGGGACTCTCCAAGAATGAATAAGTGTGAGCTGTGCCAAGGCAGTGCCATGCTGTGCCACCTTACTGGATGGACTGATGTACATAGTCATGTGGTTTCCTACTAATATGGGCACTGAGGAATGTTTCATTTCCATCTTACAAAGCTAAGCCATGTCAGTGTGTACACACGCAAGCACGCACACACCTGCCGAGTGCAGCAGAGTGAACAACCGACCCCAAGTGAAGTGAGCCGAACACTGTTTGGCTATTCACTTCAGGCTGGTACGGCTGATTTCAGAGGGATCGAGCAGAACAGAAAAATAGTTTAAAAAAAGTAAATAGAAAACGATTGTGCGGAGCTAGCAGTGACAGCTAGCTCCGCCCAATAGTTTCCTGTTGTCCGGCACACAGATATATATTAGGGCTGGGGAAATTAACGATTCATTTCTCGATTAATCGTTAAACTTTTTGATCGATTAAAATTCTTTTGATCGAAAATGAAAAGATACCTCTCCGCCGGCTTCCGGGAGTCCTGTCAGAGATCCGGTGACGTCATTGACGTTACCGGACTCCTCCCCCCTTCCCCAACTGGCTCCGTCGGCTAACGAAGGGAAGGGGGGAGGAGTCCGGTGACGTCGATGTCCGTGACGTCACCGGACTCCTCCCCCCATCCCTTCGTTAGCCGACAGAGCCACTTGGGCTGGTGAGTTTGCCCAAGAAGCACCAAGCATGATTTTTTTCATCATTGGAAAGTTGCAGTCAGGTGACCACCGCTGATGTCCTGGCTTCTGATCCAGGTCTGGGCTATAAACAGAGAAAAACAGTATACACAAAGATTTGTGTGTGCTGCTAAGGACCTCAACAACCAGCATTCCATGGACCATCCTAGGGCCAGGAACATATATTAATGCCGGATTCACACCTAGGCGACACCTATTCAGCGCATTTTACACACGTCTTTTTTTTTAAAGTTTTTTGTGTGTTTTTGTGTGCGTTTTACGCGTGTATGTTAAGTAGAGTGTTTTTGTGTGCAGATTTTGGTACATTCATGTAAATGAGCAAAACATGCATAATACGCACGTAAATTATCGCAACACATGTTTTTGAAGCGTTTTCTATTGAGTCTATGGGACAAAATGTGCTGAAATCAGCCCCATAGTAGCTCATGTAGTATTTCCTGCGACAGGCGTATTTCTGCTTGCGACAAAACGCTGACATGTGCACTGGGGTCACAGACACGAATGGGATTCCTAGTGTTGAGCTGTTTGTCGCACTGATTCTGCTAATTTGGCCTTGATTGTTCACTTCTCCTGCCTTCTACAAACGCTTCACCCTTTTGTGAATAGACCCTATAGAGCTACACAAGGGTACCTTCTGCAGTTACGAGGACTACAGGAGATTGCCTGTTCAAAAAGGAAGTGGTTAGATGATACCGGGCATCAGCTAACTAGGAAATGGCGTGAACACTGTGAAGTTAGAAAGATTGACAGTGCCAAAAAAGTATCAACTTCATGCACGGTCCACGAAATTAGTAAGGGCCCATTCCCCCATCCTAAACTATTGCAAAGAAATACACCTTTAGGGGAAAAAAGTTGTCTTCTGTTGGGGTTTGATGTCAGAATCCTTCAGGTGATATTTTGGGGAGGATATAAAGTACCCCAAAACTTACAAGATGGTTCTAAAGTGCAGTAGTGTCTTCTCGCAAGATATGGGCAACTTGGCATTCCCTATGATATCACCCCAAGGATGTTGACATTGTCCTGGCACCATGGGCCAAAGCAGGGATAAGGTAAGTATATTAACGTTGTTTTAACAAAGGTTTTGCAATGGTTTTACGCTATGAGCCTTTTGTGAATATATTCTTTTGAGCCTTGCTCAACTAAAAGTCGAAGAATAGTTTTGTACCTGCAAAGGAAGATATGTTATCCCAAGGATGGAAAAGTGGATTAAAGGCCACACTAATATACATTTAGTTATGGTCAACACGACTAGATGAGCTGTATTCCACTTAGATTAAGCACTGCACAAGGATTGAACAAGGAACAACAACATGTTTGTGGTGAAGTTGTCCTGATGGTGTTATAGAGTTTCACATTTTTGTTATAGATTTTTTGATTCACAGTTAATAAGTAGTCACAGACTGGTGCATACCATAGTGCTTGGTATTTGTCAGGTGTTACCTGTTTGCACATATACTGTATTTGGATCTTTTGAATTTTTTTGCACAGATACACTTGTTTTAGCTGGATTCACCTGCACAGATACATTTATTTCATGTGGTTTCATGTTGTTCATTCTCAGTTGGATATTTAGTTCTTTTTTATTTACATAAGTGCTGAGCCAAGATATTTATTTATTATTTCGTTTTTGATCTAGTGTGTCACTAGAGTGTTAGCTGCTTATAGTCATTTAAAGGAGAACTATGGGGTCAGTGCTTTTCCCCATAGTTCTCTTAAGGGTCACGGGAGGACATGAACTAGCATCCTCCCATGACCCAAAGCTCAGTATACCGCGAACTACAGCTCGCGGTATACTGAGACTGCCGCAGCCGGAACGGATCCCGACATTACTGTTGAGATCCACCCAGCTGCGTGATTGATAGCTGGCTCTGCCTCTCTAGAGGAAGAGCCAGTTGTACCCGCCCCCTCCCCGTCTGTTCAGAATATCAGCATATTTGCAGACACATCTACCTCCCCCTGAGCTGTCTTCCAGCAATGTCAGGTCCAGGAGCCTGTCTCCGCCTTATCCACTGTCACCGCCATCTCTGCTGCTGATTCTTTCAGGTCCCTCAGCATTCTTCTGTGGCCATTAGGTGGCCAAGGATGATCTAACTCCTGTGCATGCACAAAAGAGTTGCATCACCCCCTCCGCTCCATGCCTGGCTCATTCCCGACCCATTCCCAACATCTTTCAGAAAGTGTACTTTGCACAGCTCATTCACTGTACAGTCTATGTCATATGCTGTTCAAATGCTGCACACACAGCAATCCCACCACTAGATGGAACGTAAGAGCACAGGAAATTTCTATGCTCCTTGGCTCCAGCTAATCGTGGGAATGCCATGTGAATGCATTTCGCCCAGTGCGTGGCCGGGTGAATGATTTATAAATGTTGCCATTAGAGTGTAGAATGAAATAAATTGAAAGGAAAAAGTACTGTTAGAAGTAATGTAGAGGAGAATGGAGAAGGACTGAAATACAACATAGGCCAGGGAGAGGAGTATCTAAATATATACCACCATTTGCCCACAGGAGTGGAGAATGGCAGTTCATAGATGACCCAACATTTGTTATACTCTAATTACATTTGCATGTTTTAATTTGCTTGTTGTATTTGTGTGCTTGATAACATTGTATTGTTTTAACTTAATACTCTTTTATGTTTTGTTTATCATTTCCCCATACAGCCATTTAATAAGACAATATATCAATAGAATGAGCCTATGATTAGAGAAACATTTCTGTCTGGCTATTTATTCGTTTTCCAGTCATTTGACTCATTCATTTGTTTTAAGACACAACCATAATGTAATTATTTACTGTATATATTTGCAGTACAAATTTACATATGCATTGTTAAGTTTAAATTACATTCATTGCTTATATGCGAATGTGATTAATACAATCTGGAGGACTGAAAATACCCGGACAATTCCTGCATCCAATCAGATTGTTCAGATATTTTGAGAGCCAGCAGGGCTGACTAGCAAGATACTGAAGCTTGGCCCAGTGGGAGATTCCTCCATCCACACAGTTTAGTGTAGATGGAGGAATCTGTTGCACTTTTTCCATCTGACCATAGAAAATCTGCAGATAATCGATAGGTGTATGGTCAGCTTAAGCTTTTACATGTGTGCCCGTCCTCTCCAATTACTAAGGGATCTGTGCACAGATGGCCTGCTGATTGGAGCAGAATGAAATTCCATTTTTCTGACATCTGTGTCCGTTCACTTTTTTATTTCTGATGGAGGAAAAAACTGAACTGAATGGACCCATGTTAGGTTGACGGCAGCGGGATGTAAATGGACATCAAATTACCTCATATAAATCACATTTAGGTCCAAAAACAGAGGACGCAAACCTTTTCACGAACTGAACTGACTCGGAGGTAATCAGTTGTTATCGCACACATGTACATTTACATCCAGCTGCCCGTAGAGTTACATTGGGCTTCTGATAAGATTCGCCTGAAAAGCTGACAGTCCAATCTGATCGGACTGCTCATGTAAAAGGGGCCTTAGCTAGCTTTACACTCTGATGCCTTTATTCCTTATTTTGCCTATAAAAAGTAACAGTTAAATGAATGTGTTCAATTTCTAATTGTTGATTGATATGGCTGAAAACCTAAAAGAACCTATTGAACTACAGTACATTGTTATCACAGTGACAGTATCAGGGCCAGACAAGAAGGAAGTGCACTGATTGGCATGCCTTGCAAGCATGCTTTATGTTGTCAATAAGTAACCCAGTGCTTTAATTATAGC